ATTCGTTACATAATGATTAATCCAGACCCTGTCATTTGTTCCATTGGGTTGGTAACCCTGTCTTATCGGCCGATCACATTGCTGTCTTTATTGGCTAATCAGTTTCAAGAAGAAATCTATACTTAGTAAAAGACTCTTCAGTACCTTGCTCTATGCTAAGCTCTAGGGATAGGCAGGAAAGAGGGAGATTCTTTGCCCCTTCTCTGAGCAGCCGGGGATTTTACTAAATTGACCTCGTCCTAGCCCAGTAGTTCTTTACCTAACACAGTGGGGGCTTCTTAGAATCACCTGGAAGAATCGTTCTAAATATTGATGCCTAAGCTGTACTCCCAGAGGCTCTGATTCAGTAGGGAATGGGGTCTGGATGTGGATGTTTTGAACCTATGGTGATTTTTATTCGAGGTGGTATGGTGGGTATAATCCATGTAATTTCTATAAGGCTTTTTGAAAAAATGAAAATAGCCTGTGAACTCGAGGTCCATTTGGTTCCATTTCCCTCCTGGTGTACGGCTATCTTCTGCAGTATCCCTGAGCCTGGTCAGCATCAATTTGAACATGTCCCTTCCCCCAGAGACAGGGGACTCAGCCCCCTGCAGAGGCAGCATGTTCAGCCTCAGAACACCTTCGCTTGCCCCAAGTTCTTCCTTTGGTCTTTCCTTATAACTACCCTTTTCCCCCTCCTGCCCAATGGCTCCTCAGCCAAGGAGTTTCTGCTAAATGAACCCCTGGCCTTGCAGTCCTAGGAACAATTATAGGAGGTTTCCTAGAGGGAGTGACCTTCCAGTTCTTTTTTTTCTTTTTTTTTTTTTTTTTAAGATTTTATTTATTTGACAGAGAGAGGGAACACAAGCAGGGGGGAAGTGGGAGAAGGAGAAGCAGGCTTCCTGCCGAGTAGGGAGCCCAATGTGGGGCTCCATCAAAGGACCCCGGGATCATGACCCGAGCCGAAGGCAGACGCTTAGTGACTGAGCCACCCAGGTGCCCCCTTCCAGTTGTTCTGATGCTTTATGTCACAGAGATCTGTAAGGGCAGACCCTTAGGGCAGGAAGGCGCCTCTTTATACACACACACACACACACACACCTCTCTTTTTTGTAATAGTTATGTTCTAAAAGTTCCTGTGAACATTAAATTAGTGAATACTGAACCATTGCTCCTGGGAAAAATACAGGGTTAGACTTCTGCAAGCCTCTGGTTTGTCAACCTATCAACACATAACCTTACTTGTTTTCTGTTTCTGTTTAAAGGCACCTTATTTAGTATATATTGTTGATTCATTAACATTGAACTCAAGGCCAGTAGCACTATAACTCATGTCTGAACTAAGTTTATCTAGCACCTATTTTCTTCATAAGGCATATCATATCCCCCCCTTTTTTTTAGCAATTACTATCTTGGTTTAGTTAATCATATTTCATAGAAGCTGAAAACACTCATTTCTCCTTTATATGAATACCCCAAAGCACTATAAATTACAATGTGCAGAATACTATATAAAAGAATTCTCATAAAAACTGGCTCTTTTTCATCATAGGGCAACTACTGTAGTTTCCTCTGACTAGTACAGCATCTACCCGAATGCTTTGTGATGATCTAAATTTAGGTAAGTACAAATCACAGCAAAAAAAATGATCTTGGAAATAACATCTATTCCATGACACCAATACTACAGTTTTCGGAGTCACAGTAAGATACACAGAATTACATCTGTAATTAATATGAATGCCAACATTTCGAGCAATAATTTGTTACATGGCAAACAAAATCAAGAAAGCAACCATCAAACAAAAGAGACTCATAGCTTCAGACAAGGCAAATTCCAGGATAGCGATGAGAACAGCTGCTACTTCGGTGAAGGGTTTCTGGCGTAACCAACGATAAGGCTGCCGAAGACTGTTCCAATACCCACCAGAACCAGCCACTCCAACTGTTGCAGCAACTGCACCAATAAATTTGGCAGCAGTACCAATGTTTCTGCTGATTGCACTGGTCTGAAACTCCCTTTGGATTCCTGAGACACACCATTCTGGGCCCCATTAAATACCGTAGAGCCTTTGTGGGTTTACTTAATTTCTATTACTGCTATTCTCTCTCCAGTCCTAGCGTCTGGGCAAGATAACGCTGATGGAGAAATTGGTCTGGATGCAACTCTGGATCCAACTCGAATCAGAGTGGGTGTGCAGGCGAGCTTGATGCAGGCGAATATCTTACGCAGGGCAATGCAGCTGGAGGACCTGGGCGACGGGCGACCTGGTCTCCTCTCCCGAGCAGGGGGGTGCCTGCTGCGGTGACGCCAGCAGAGATCAAAGGATTGGCCCCTATCATGCCCTTCATGCACCTAGGAACACTAGACAGCACTCCAGGCACTATGCTTGTGTGCCATTTTAAACAGCAAAAGCACAAACAAAAAGCACAAAAACATGAAAAATGTGGCACTAAATAGATCATGAGACAGACACTCGTCGTCGGCAGCATGGGAGCTGAAACAAGAAGGCAGCGGGCGTGGTATTGTTCTACCTCAGCTGGGAACAGATGCCTGGGGCAGCTCAATTTTTTTTGGCCACCTCAAGAGCTCTTGAAGTACTGATTTTGGGGTTATAAATAAATTTTTGTTGAGTAGGCAAATTTGTAAATTCAGAATCAGCAAATAAAAATCATCCCACATGTACATGTATATTCCTTCCGTTAAATGCTAAAGGTTTTGCTGCTGTCACCATTTCATCCTCACAAAACGACGTATGGGAACTGTGTATTGGTTTAAGATTTCAAATCCACTTGTTTATGACTTAACGCACTTGTTTTGATCTAAGGGTGAATTTGGAAGGCCATATGAGGATGATAGCAGCCGAACTGTCGTGCTACCAGGTGCTTATAGATAGGAACATATGGAGAAGCAACTATGACATAATGGACATTTAAACTTTAAATACCAAGAATTTATGAGGACTTACTGAGAATGTTCGGTCTGGGCAAGGCTACTCTTTGCTGATCTAAACAGATCTCTGAAGATCTTGAGACATTTGTTCCTGTGGTGGCCAGGATACTCTTGGTCCTCAGTGGTGTTAAAGACACAATGGTCTGAAGAAGAGAAAGACATCTTTTCCTGCCTTGGCAAGGCCGTCTTTCTGGGCGGTGGTCAACAGAGTGCCAGCTGGCTGTGTACCCCAGCAGCAAGGAACGAAAGCGGGCAGCTGATTCCCAGCTTAGTTGGGAGGATTGATTCACAGAGGACCAACTCTAGACAGCACATCACAACTAAACTTGGACTTTATTTCATCTCCTTTTTGCCTGGAACTATAATGTAATTAATCTATCTTTGTTTTGGAGTATGTTATTATTTTTTTATTTTTTAAAAAGATTTATTGGGGCGCCTGGGTGGCTCAGATGGTTAAGCGTCTGCCTTCGGCTCAGGTCATGATCCTGGAGTCCCGGGATCGAGTCCCGCATCGGGCTCCCTGCTCGGCGGGGAGTCTGCTTCTCCTCCCTCTGACCCTCCTCCCTCTCCTGCTCTCTGTCTCTCGTTCTCTCTCTCTCAAATAAATAAAATCTTAAAAAAAAAAAAAAGAAAAAAAAAGATTTATTTATGGGGCGCCTGGGTGGCTCAGTCGTTAAGCGTCTGCCTTCGGCTCAGGTCATGATCCCAGGGTCCTGGGATCAAGCCCCGCATCGGGCTCCCTGCTCAGCGGGAAGTCTGCTTCTCCCTCTCCCACTCCCCCTGCTTGTGTTCCTGCTCTCACTATGTCTCTCTCTGTCAAATAAATAAATAAAATCTTAAAAAAAATATATTTATTTGACTGGGGGGGAGCCAAGTAGGGGGAGGGGCAGTCAGGGAGAAGCAGGCTCCTCACAGAGCAGAGGGCCCAATGCAGGGGATCAGGGCCTGAGCTGGAGGCTGTCACGTAACCGACCTGAGCCACCCAGGCGCCCCTGGAATATGTTATTTCTTCATTAGCTTATTATTTTTTTTAAAGATTTTATTTATTTATTTGAGAGAGAGCACATGAGAGGGGGGAGGGTCAGACTCCCTGCCGAGCAGGGAGCCCAATGCGGGACTCGATGTGGGGACTCGATGCGGGGACTCGATGCGGGGACTCGATGCGGGGACTCGATCCAGGGACTCGATGCGGGGACTCGATCCAGGGACTCCAGGATCATGACCTGAGCTGAAGGCAGTCGCTTAACCAACTGAGCCACCCAGGCACCCCTCTTCACTAGCTTATTAAGAGACATTAACCTGTATGCTACTGGCTTGTGAACTACTACTGTTATAAATTAGAGTCCCTACAGGGAACCTGTGCTATATAAACTATTGGCAAAGACAAATCTCAGTTTCTGGGCATAATTTGCTGGAGCGAAACAAGAGTGAGTTTCAGAGATTAACAAAGGTGGTCACATAGCTAGTAAATGATTTTTGGTTCTTTTAGACATACAGTAAAATACTCCCCACGCTCTTGTTGGTGGACAGCCCTCCGAGTTTTAACACCTGCACTGACTCTTCTAAGTACCAACACTAACAGGATACGGAACAATTACAACACTCCACAAATTTGTCTCAGGCTACCGTTTTGTGAAGCTGGTTTCAGGCCAACCCCTGCCCTCAAGTCAGTCTCGGGCGCTACTCCAGGCCACACGCCCTCTCATCATAGAGGACTTAAAACCCAATGGCTGTACTAGGTTATAAAGCTTTTTTCGGACGTTTGATGTGGACTTCTTCTCCGACCCGCTCCTGAGCCGGGGACCAGAACTTAGGAGGCAAAGAACTACTCAACACTCCCTTCCGCCACTTCCGGCGCCTCTGCGCACGCGGAGCGCCCTTCTCTTCCTCTCTCTCTGTCTCTCCCCCCTTCCCTCCGGGTGCCCCCCCCGCCTCCTCACCGCCTCCTGCCCCGCCCCTCACCGCCTCCTGCCCCGCCCCCTCACCGCCTCCTGCCCCGCCCCCTCACCGCCTCCTGCCCCGCCCCTCACCGCCTCCTGCCCCGCCCCTGGCTCTGAGTGATCGCTGGCGTCGCCGCCGCTTCAGTCTGTGCAAGCTCGCGTCAGCTGCTTCAGGGCCCGCTGCACCCGCCTCCGCCCTGCACCACCTGAGCCATGCCTCTGGCCACCTCACAGTCTGGGCCTCTGCGCCGGGTGTTCGTGGTGGGGGTTGGGATGACCAAGGTAAACAGAGCCGCGGACCCCCAGAGGCGGGCTCCCAGTTCGGCTCTGTCCGGGAGAGGCCGGGGAGTGGGGGAGCCCGGAGGTGACCGGGAAACGGGAGCCCAGGTCAGGGCCAGGTGCTCCGCGGTGGTTTGTCCTTCCTACGGGGTGGGGGTCCCGGGCATCCCACTGCTCAGCTCCGGCGTCTTGGCTCTTGGCGACTCGGAGGGGTTGCAGTTTAGGGTTGTCTCTGAAGCGTGGTACTGTCCGGGGGTTACTCCTGCGGCCATTGCTTTCCCGTTCCTCCTTCCCTTTTCTCACTGGATCAGAGTTGGTGACGGACGCCCCAATAAAGTCCACACTTTGATTCTGAGTGGAACCCCAAGGTATGTGGACCTTTGATGAGGCAACATCCTCCTTACACTGGAAAGGAAAGCGGGTGGGGACTGTCCCCAGCTCTACACACCCAGGAATACTCCCCTGTAGGATCCCTTTACAGTTAGAAGTGAGGATGAGGAGGAGAAACATTAGTGATCTTCAGTGTCTTGGCACAAGTGGCAGGTTTTCTGGATCCTCTGACCTCCTTTCTGTTCCTCAAATGGTACTCTGCTTGGTTTTTAGGAAGCCAGGGTCCCCCAGTCTCATTTCTTGTCACCCTCACCACTCCCACGTTCTAGTAATGCCAAACTGCTGTTAGTTTCACCCCACACTGTTTTATGCCTCTCCTGCTTTGCTTCTCTTGTTCTCACTACTTGTACTTGGTTGACTTCTTTGCGTTTTTAAAAGACCAGTTCATCTTCTCCAGGAAGTCTCTTGATCCTCCTGACTTTCGCACAGAGCCCTGTACTTACCTTTGCTTCAGTGCTGATATCCCCCACTTTTGGAAAGTTCAAGTTCTACCACGTGACTTTCACAAAAGGCGTAGATTACTACCTATTTTTGTTAACTGAAATTTGAAGAGGATTTTTGCTTTTAGAAGAAGGCAAAAAGTGAAAATAGCATCCAGCATTTGCTCTGCAGGGAGGTGTTACTGAGGCAGTGAGCACCCCAAGCAGCTGCCAGAGTGGGACTGCCGAGCTCCTTCCCTGAAAATACACTCAGCATCTCAGCATTACGCTGCCATAGCTTTGAACTGTGTCTGTGAGCATCTGTGCTTTATCTTATTTTGTGCATTCATTATCAAGATGTGTCCTAAGGTATCAGAAAAGCCTAAGAGGTTATGTTCTGGGGTCCAAGAACACTCAAAAAATTTCCCAGATAAGTTAATGGTAATTGCTTCCTCACGTTATGCCATTTCAGTTTATGAAAGTTTTCGGAGGAACACAATATTTTTGATAGCAGGGGAAACCCGTACATACTATGTTATACTGAAGTTCTCTGTTTATATGTTCATATTCTTCCTTAGTACGTAAGCTTCTCCAAGGTGAGTACCATGTCTAATTCGTTGCTGTATCTGTAACACCTTGAAAATGCCTGGTGCCTGAAGGTCCTAATGAATATTAGTTAGTACTAAATGGATATACTTTGTGAAAGACACTTTCTAAGGGAAAGTTCTCTTTCTGAGAAAACAGCCTTAAAATTTTTATTATCTTACCAAATGGGGTGAGAGTACATACTTTGATCAAAACATGTGAGTAGAAAAGTCAACTAATCATTATAAAGCAGATACTTGGAGTTCATCCTATTGTTTCATGGGAGAGGGGACTTCTAATATAGGTGGACAGTAGAAGCTTTTTAAGTATGACATTCATGCAGTCAGGTCCTCCATTGGCTGTTGAATATCTGATTATATTGGCTGTATAGAAAAGCACAGAACTTTCTAACCCTTTGGGAAATAGTTTGTTTTCTTTTTCCAAGTTAGGAGGTGGAGGTGTGGGCAGTATTAGTTACAGTATTGAGGGAAGAGATTGGGAGTGTGAAGAACAGCTTTATTGATGTACTTATTCCAGTTCCTTCTAGGTTAGATATTTTGGAACTTGGGGCAGGGTTTGATGTAGAGGGAGAAACTTACTAGATAATACTTTAAGCTCTATTAGTAAATCTCTAATGGTTGGGTTCCTGTGTTATGGTTCTTAATTTGAATAGCTGAGTTCCCGATACAACTTGAAGTTCCCTTAATAAGGTTTTATTATCAGTGTAGGAAGTAAGTTAGAATTCCTATGGTGGATGTCAACAGGTTTTAATACAACTAAATCACCACTACTACCAGGCTGACAGCAGGCCAAGTCCCTTTGCTTATGCTGCCTACCTTCTGATATGCCCTTTTTTCATAGATTTTCGTTCTACCTATTTCAAGAAATGATCTGACTTCATCTGTTTCGGCTGCAATATAACAGCAATACAAACAGAGTGGATAGCTTAAAAAACAAATATTTATTTCTCACAGTTCTGGAAGCTGGAAAGTCTGAGGTCAAGACACTGGCAGATTCAGTGTCTTGTGAGGTCTTGCTTTCTGGAACATGGACAGCTGTGTTCTTGCTGTATCCTCATAGGCAGAAGGGGTGAGGTCTCTCCCTGGGGTCTCTTTTATAAGTGTATTAATACCATTTGTAAAGGCTCCATCATTATGACCTCCCAAAGGCCCCACCTCAATCATTCAATCACATTGGGGATTAGATTTCAATATATGAATTTTAGGAGGACACAGACATTCAGTCTTTGTAGCAGAGTCCAAGTCCTATATTTTTTTATTTCTATTTCTTCATATTGCTCTAAGTTATTCTGGTTACCTTTTTTTATAAATTCTGGTGCCCTTATAGTTAGGACCAAATAATTAAGCACCTAATTTTTCTAATAATTTTATGTGAGATAATTTCATGACCCACAGAAGAAATACACCTTACATTACAACCTCATACACACACACACACACACACACAACTGAAACAAGTTTGCTAAAGCAACACTTATTTGGGGAAGCTCTAGGTCAAATGTTACAGGTTCTTAAATAGATATATTGAGAGGAAAACAAAGTAGTGGAGGAGGACCTGTAGATTAAAAAAGAATTAAAAGACCCATAAAATTTTCATAAATGGGCAAGACTAAACTGTAGTGTCTATAGATACATACTTGGATGATAAAATTATGAAATATTACAAGAAAGTGATTACTGTAGGAGTGAGGATAGTAACTACTATGGGCGTGGAGTAGAGACTGAGATCGAGAAAGAGTGCTTAGAGGAGTTTCTGCAGTAGAAGGCCAAGTTCAGTTTTTTGTGTGGGTGGTGGTATCAAAGATAAGGAATGGTACACACTAGGTAGGGATTACGTTACATTAGGTAATTAGGAAAGTTTTCATCAGTAATATATTATTGGGAATAGAAGGAAAAGTCCAGTGTGAACTCAACTGAATTTTGATTTATACGGAGGTGACTGGGTGTTTTAAAGGGAAAATGAGGGAATAGGGAGTGAGCTGGGGCGCAGTAGCGTTAGGGAAGTGAAAACTTATAAAAAGTGGGAAGAGGGGCTAGGTCCATGTGAAAGCCATCTGGGTTTGCTAACTGGCATTTATCCAAACTTAGGCTCCTACTTTGCCACAGGGAGTTGGAAACAGGGACCTTATCTTCTGGTGTTTGTGGGAACAAATAGTAACTTGTTTTTGGTAGCCTGAAGGCACTTTAAGTAGGGCTAGGGTCATCCTAGGAATGTGGACTTGAGCTATTAGAAACTGTGTTAGTGTTTAAGTCTTTATAGGCCAAGGCGGAGGCTTAGCTCTCAGAGAAGCCTGGCTAGAGTAGAAGGGGAGAAGAGAATCTTTGTCAGTGGTGGCAAGAGTGTTTGCCTTACAATAATTCATTAAGATAATATATATATTTACTTTTATTATTTAAATAAAAACTTTAAACAAAGCTAAAACTTTATTTTTATTTTTTGAAGTTCCATTTATTTGTTTATTTACTTATCTATTTATTTATTGGTGCAAAATGGTTGTTTTATTAAAGCACGGGGACAAGACCCGTGGGCAGAAAGAGCTGATGCCTAATTTATTTATTTTTATTTATTTATTTATTTTTAGATTTTATTTACTCATTTGAGAGAGAGAGAGACAGAGACAGACAGTGGATGAGCAGGGGGAGGGGCAGAGGGAGAGGGAGAGGGGAAGCTGAGCTGGGAACCTGATGCAGGGCTCAATCCTAGGACCCTAGGCAGGGCTTAATCCCAGGACCCTGAGATCATGACCTGAGCTGAAGTCAGATGCTTAACCAACTGAGCCACCCAGGCAGCCTTAAAACTTTTATTATTATTATTATTAAAGATTTTATTTATTTATTTGACAGAGAGAGAGAGAGACAGCAAGAGAGGGAACACAAGCAGGGGGAGTGGGAGCGGGAGAAGCAGGCTTCCCGCTGAGGAGGGAGCCCGATGTGGGGCTCGATGCCAGGACGCTGGGATCATGACCTGAGCCGAACGAAGGCAGTCGCGTAACAACTGAGCCGCCCAGGTGCCCTTATTTATTTATTTTTAAGTGATCTCTACACCCAGCGTGGAGCTTGAACTCACAATCCCAAGATCAAGAGTCACATGCTCTATTGACTGAGCCAGCCAGGTACCCCCAAAAGGTTAAAACTTTTTTTTTTTTAATTTTATTATGTTATGTTAGTCACCATACAAGACATCATTAGTTTTTTTTTTTTTTAAAGATTTTTTATTTATTTATTTGAGAGAGAGAGAATGAGAGAGAGCGAGTACATGAGAGGGGGAAGGGTCAGAGGGAGAAGCAGACTCCCCGCCGAGCAGGGAGCCCGATGCGGGACTCGATCCAGGGACTCCAGGATCATGACCTGAGCCGAAGGCAGTCGCTTAACCAACTGAGCCACCCAGGCGCCCCGACATCATTAGTTTTTGATGTGGTGATCCACGATCCATTGTTTTCATATAACACCCAGTGCTCCATGCCGTACGTGCCCTCCTTAATACCCATCACTGGGCTAACCAATCCCCCCTCCCCCCTCCCCTCTAAAACCCTGTTTGTTTCTCAGAGTCCATAGTCTCTCATGGTTCATCTCTCCCTCCAATTCCCCCCACCTCATTTTTCCCTTTTTTCTCCTAGTGTCCTCCATGCTATTCTTTACATTCCACAAATAAGTGAAACCATATGATAATTGACCTCCTCTGCTTGACTTATTTCACTTAGCATAAGCTCCTTCAGTCCCATCCATGTTGATGTAAAAGTTGAGTATTCATCCTTTCTGATGGCTGAGTAATATTCCATTGTATATATGGACCACATCTTCTTTATCCATTCATCTGTTGAAGGGCATCTCGGCTCTTTCCACAGTTTGGCTATTGTGGACATTGCTGCTATGAACATTGGGGTGCACATGGCCCTTCTTTTCACTACATCTATGTCTTTGGGGTAAATACCCAGGAGTGCAATTGCTGGGTTATAGGGTAGCTCTATTTTTAAATTTTTGAGGCACCAGGTTAAAACTTTTAAGAATGAGGCAGTTGATAACTCTAGGAAAAAAAAATTGTACCATAAAGGAAGTGTAGTTATAGCACACAACTTGGCCCAGTGTTGAGACATATTTACTTAATAAGGTAAACACTGAGTACTGATTTAGTAAAAAATTATTTATTCAGTTGTATAAGTGGATTGGGGGAAGTCTAAATGTATATGTGAGGGGCCTAAGAGACCTAATCCTTATTGGCCCGTATTGGAGATTGTGGTATAATTTCTTAAATTGTTAAAGAAGTAATAGTATAAGAATATTTAGGGGCGCCTGGGTGGCTCAGTCGTTAACCGTCTGCCTTCTCACTGCCTCCAGCCTATTTCTTCATTCATTCTCCACATTGCATCTGAAATGATCTAAAATGCAGTTCTTTTCATCCCAGTCTCTCTCTCTCTTTTTTAAAAGATTTTGTTTATTTATTTGAGAGAGAGGGAGAGTGTGCGTGCGCGCACGCGCACACACACAGAAGAGAGCATGAGTGGTGGGGGAGGGGCAGAGGGGGAGGCAGACTCCCCACTGAGCAGGGAGCTTGATGCAGGACTCCGTCCCAGTACCCTGGGATCATGACCTGAGTGGAAGGCAGATGCCTAACTGATTGAGCCACCCAGGTACCCCCCAGTCTCTTTTTTTAAAAATAGGGCTTTATTTTTCAAAGTAGTTTTAGGTTTTAGGTTACAGCAAAATTGAGCAGAAAGTAGAGTTCACATATGCTCCCTGCCCCCACACATGCCCAGCCTCATTCACTATCCGTAATCTGCACCACAGTGGGGCATTTGTTATAATCAATGAACCTACACTGACATATCATTATCACTCAAGATGGGTTCACTCTCCGTGTTCAATATTCTAGGTTTGGACAAGTGTATAATGACATGTATCCACTATAGTATCATATGGAATTGTTTCACTGCGCTAAAAATCCTCTGTGCTCTGCCTATTCATCCCTTTCCTCAACCCCTGACAACCACTGATCTTTTTACTGTCTCCATAGTTTTGCCTTTTTCAGAATGTCATATAGTTGGAATCATACAGTATGTAGGCTTTTCAGATTAGCCTCTTCACTTAGTAACATGAATTTAAAATTCCTCCATGTCTTTTCATGGCGTGATAGCTCATATCTTTTTGGGGCTGAATAATATAATATTCCGTTGTTTGTATTACCACAGTTTATTCACCTACTGAAGACATTTTGGTTACTTACAAATTTTGGCAATTATTTAAAATTACTATAAATATCCCTGTGTGGGTTTTTGTGTGGACATAAGTTTTCATATCATTTGCATAAATACCAAGGAGCACAATTGCTGGATCATATGTTAAGAGGATGTTTAGTTTTTTTTTTTTTAAGATTTTATTTATTTATTTGAGAGAGAGAGTGTGCGCAAGTGGGGAGCAGGGAGCCTGACGTGGAACTTGATTCCAGAGCTTTGGGGTCATGACCTGAGCCAAAGGCAGACGCTTAACAACTGAGCCACCCAGGCACCCGAGGATGTTTAGTTTTATAAGAAACTGCCAAACTGTCTCCCAAAGTGGCTGTACCATTTTGCATTGCCACCAGCAATGAATGAGACTTCCTGTTGCTCCACATCCTTGTAAACATTGGGTATTGTCAGTGTTTGGATTTTGATCATTCTAATGGGGGGTAGCAGTATCTCATTTTTTTCCCTGTCTCTCGCTCTCTTTTTTTTTAAGATTATTTATTTATTTATTTGAGAAGGAGAGAGAGTGAGCGGGAGAGAGAGAGAGAGAGCAAGCAGGGTGAGGTGCAGAGGCAGAGGAAGAAGCAGGATCTCCACTTCAGAGAGAGCGGGGAGCCCGAGCAGGGAGTCCGATGTGGGGCTCAATCCTGGGACTCTGGGATAATGACCCAAGCTGAAGGCAGATGCTTAACCGACTGAGCCACCCAGGCATCCCCAGTCTCTTAAAAAAAAAAAAGAAAAATCCATCGTTTTTAGAATAAAGCCCAGACATCATAGGAAAGCATATAGGTTCCCTTTTGAGTTAGCTCTAGAACCAGACTGTCTGAAATTTCAGCTTCACTACTTAATTAGCTACGTGTCCTTGGGCAGATTACTTAATCTCTCTGTACCCTTTCTTGTTGTAAAGTGATGGTAATAATAGTACCTACCTTTTAGGATTATTGTGAGGATTAAGTAAATTAAAACATGAGAAGTGCTTAGCATAATGCAGAACACAGTAAGTGCCCAATAAGCGTTAGTAGTTACTATCATTTGGTCCTAAGTTACTTTTCTGTCCCTGTCACTTGCCGAATCCGATTTGTGCTTCAGCTTCTGCAGCATAAAATTGCTCACAGTACCTAGATTGAGCCATATTCTCTCGCTTCTAGGTCTTTGCCCTAGAATTTTTTTTCTATCACTTGGCTAACTCCTACTCATTCTTAAAGACTTAATTTAAATGTCAGTTCCTCTGGGAAGCCTTTCTAGTCCTCGTTCTGAGGCTAGGTAGTTTTCTTTCCCAAATTATTCTGTACTTAAGGACACTATAGTATAATTGTCTGTTTTCCATTGGACTGGAAGCTCCCCAAGGGCAACGACTGTATATTATTTATTATCAGAGTCTAGGAGCATGTTAGGTGCTCAGTATGTTTTTGTTTAAATTAATTGATAAATGAATTTTTGCAGTGCTCTGTTGTGAGAAAAATCTAACTATATTTGCTTCTATTTATTATCTCCTTCTGCATTTCTAGTTCATGAAGCCTGGACTTGAGAATGCAAGAGACTACCCTGACTTGGCAAAAGAAGCAGGTAATATAGAAAATTTAGATCTTTGAACACTGGACTTACTGTGTCATCTGCCTTGATTGTGGAACCTTGGAACCATAAAAAGAAGCTGAGTCAAGGGAGAAGGACCTATACAGACAATTGCCTAGTGATTCATTAGGAAGGACAAAGGGAGAAGAGCTTGGGCATTCTTAGCTAGATAACCGGGGCAAACAGTGGCCTGTGATTTTATGTACTGTCCAAGTGTTTGCTGGGACATCAAAGGACTCTGTGGGAGTCTCCCCTTCCCCCCCACAATAATGATATTCTTTCCAATTTTGTCCTTTAGATGTGCAGTGGAGCCACAGAGATGAGTAAGGACCTTGAGGTTAAGGAGCTTTAAGACTTTGGGATTTAATATATTTATAGTTAGGTATACAGTTAGAACAGAAAATGTTAAGTATCAAAAAGGAGGTGTGAAAAAAGTAGTAGCTTAGTGGAAGAAACAGTTACTTCTGAATGGAGAGATCTGAGATGAATTGATGAAGGATTTGTCATTTGAATTGAGCATAGACTATTTAGAGGCAGATCTACTCTGGGAAAACTCTAAACTTAATTTTGACCCACCTAAAGCAAATACTCAAAGCACTCTTTGATAAAACCCTTTTGTTTTTATAGGCCAGAAGGCTTTAGCTGATGCACAGATCCCTTATTCAGTAGTGGAACAGGCATGTATTGGCTACGTTTATGGTATGTGGTAAACTATATATTTTAAAAATGTTTCACCTAATCTAGCAGCAACTTCATAAACAATACAGAGGCATTTGTGAATTTTAACCCTCCAAACTCAGAATTCAGACTTATTTCCATCATTCCTAGATTTCCCTTATGTGTCAGCCTAGTTTAACATATGTTTTTTGCCATTGTTTATTGCCAAAACAGGAGATAAATTAAAAAGCATTGTTTATCTTTAAAAAAGAAAAAATTACGCATAGTTCTACCATGTAAAGATAATTACTATTCAGAAGATAAATTTTTGTTATCTTAAAATTTGTATTCGTTGACTTTTTGTATCCAATACATTTTTTAAAAGATTTTATTTATTTGTTTGACAGAGAGAGAGAGAGAGCGGACAAGCAGGGGGAGCAGGAGAGGGAGAAGCAGGCTCCCCACTGAGCAGGGAGCCCATTGCAGGGCTCTATCCCAGGACTCCAGGATCATGACCTGAGCCAAAGGTAGACGCTCAACCACTGAGCCACCCAGGCACCCCCAATAAAAATTTTTCATTAAACTTTTTCCTAACTAGGAAAAGAGTATAGACTAATTGTAAAAAAAAGAAAGAAATAAGGAAACACAGAAAAACAAGAAAAAAGTCACCTGTAACCCTATTGTCCAGTCCCGAAGTTATTACTGTTAATTTTTTGATGTTATCCTTCAGTGAATATGAATGCATGTGAGTCTGCATGCACATAGAATTTTCTCTTAAATAAAACAAGGTCCTGGGGTGCCTGGCTGGCTCAGTTGGAAGAGCATGCGACTCTTGATCTCTGGGTCGTGAGTTTGACCCCCATGTTGGGTGTAGAGATTACTTAAATAAATAAAACTTAAAAAAAAAAAAAGAAGGATCCTGGTACTTTTTGGTAACCTACTTTTCTCATTTTAGTATAGTTCATATTCCCCATTAAATCTTCTTTTAGGGCTCCTGGGTGGCTCAGTCGTTAAGCGTCTGCCTTCAGCTCAGGTCATGATCCCAGGGTTCTGGGATGGAGCCCCACGATGGGCTCTCTGCTCAGTGGGAAGCCTGCTTCACCCTCTCCCACTCCCCCTGCTTGTGTTCCCTCTCTCTCTGTCTCTCTGTCAAAATAAATACATAAAATCTTAAAAAAAAAAGATTAAAAAAAAAGTCTTCTTTTATAGTACCATTAACATTTTTTCAATTAAGTTTTTTTTTTTTTTCTGGAATAGATAAAATATGTACATGGTACAAAAATACCAAAGGTGGGTGATTATATGATGGAGAGTCTCACTCTTATTCCTGTCTCCCTGTCTCATGGTTCCCTTCCCTTAGAAAGCCATTTTCACTAATTTCTAGTGTATCTTTGCAGAGGTGATTTGTCCATATCCAAGTATGTGTGAGTGTGTAAGTTCCCTTGTCCCTTTTCTTTTGTTACACACTTGGTAGCATAATAAACTCACTGTTTTGTAGCTTGATTTTTTTATTTTTTTTACTTAGTAGTTCTTGGCTACTGTTCCAAATTATATCATTAAGAGCTTCCTTGGTCTTTTTTTTAAATGATAACATAAAATTCCATTGAATAGATATATCATATAATCCACCGCCTTTTAAATGACATTTAGAATGTCCCCGGTCTTTTTACACCATTTTTCATGACTGCATGCTTTTCTAGTCTTGGGGATATTGTAATGATATCCTGTTCTTGGACATTTTATTTATTTATTTATTGGACGTTTTTAATTATTTCTAATTTCTAGTTACCATAAAAGGCTATAGTAAGCATTACTGTAGATGAATGTTTGTGTTTATCTGTGTTTATTTATTTTTTTTGAGATTTCAAGATATCAAGAGCATCCTCAAAGGGAAATTTACTAGGTCAAAGAGATGCACAATGTATTTATTGAAAAGAAGGTCCTGAACCTTGCTGTTTTCCCTGAAGACTTCTGGAGAGTCTGTCCCTTCACATGTTCCCATCAGATTGCTCCAACATGTCCTGCCTTGATGATTGTGTTACTTGGGAAAGGGAGTCAAATGTATATTCAGCTTGGATCACTGTTTTTCTGGAACACCCTGCCATACAGGATCTTTTAAACTTTTTGAAGTTGTAGAACCTTTATATGAAGAGAAAACCACAGCCTTTTAATCAATTGATGTAGTTTTAAAGATTTATATCTGAAGTAGAAATGAAACATTGCTTCCTTTTTTATCATGGAGTCCTAGACAGGTTGAATTGTTTGCTATTACTTGGTCATTACTCTCCTATGTCTGTGACATGTAAAGAAAGTACACATATACTGTGTTTTGAGGATTTTTCATATTTGGAGTGTAAATAATGCTTAATGCAAAAACTGTTTCTGAATAAGATGTCAATAGTTTATTGTTGGGCGCCTGGGTGGCTCAGTCGGTTAAGCGACTGCCTTCGGCTCAGGTCATGATCCCAGGGTCCTGGGATCGAGTCCCACATCGGGCTCCCTGCTCAGCAGGGAGTCCGCCTCTCCCTCTCCCCCTCCCCCTGCTGGTGTTCCCTCTCTCGCTGTGTCTCTCTCTGTCAAATAAATAAATAAAATCTTAAAAAAAAAAAAAGTTTATTGTTGTGCCTGTGTTATATGCACAAAGGCACAATACTGAAAAAAAAAAAACCCATAATGTGGTATCATGTTGCATTGCAGCTTCATAAATTCTCATGTTGCAGATATTATAGTTTTTGTTTCTTTTTCTATACAGGTGACTCTACCTGCGGGCAGAGGTCTATCTATCACAGTTTGGGACTGACTGGAATTCCTATAATAAATGTCAACAATAACTGTGCTACTGGTTCTACTGCTTTGTTTATGGCCCGGCAGCTGATTCAGGGTGGTAAGGATCGCTTATTTGTCTAGTGTACTGAAAGAGGTATGGCGTTATTGCTCTCCTCTTTTATCAGTTCTCCACATGACCATCAGAGGGATTGCTTTATACTGTATTGAGATCTAATTTATGTACCAAAAATTCATCTTTTGAAACTATACAATTCAGTCTTTTTTAGTAGAATTGCAGATTTTACGAACCATCACCACTATCTAGTTTTATTTTATTTTATTATTTTTTAAAGATTTTATTATTTGACAGAGAGAATGAGGGAGCACAAGCAGGTGGAGCGCAGAGGGAGAGGGAGAAGCAGGCTCCCTGCTGAGCAGGGAGCCCTATGTGGGGCTCGATCCCAGGACCCTGAGATCATGACCTGAGCTGAAGGCAGATGCTTAACTGACTGAGCCACTCAGGTGCCCCTCCACGATCTAGTTTTAGAACATTTTTATCACTGAATAAAGGAACCCTAAACCTATTAGCAGTCACTCCCCATTTTCCCCTCTCCTAAGCCCCTGGTAACTACTAACCTACTTTCTGTCCCTGGATTTACCTACTGTAAACATTAAGTGAATGGAATCATATAATATATGGCCTTTTGTGGCTTCTCTCACTTAGCATAATGTTTTCACTGTTCATGTTGTAGCATGTATCACTATTTCATTCTTTTTTATGACCAAATAATATTCAATTGTATGTATAGACCACATTTTGTTTAAATAATTATCAATTAATGGGCATTGGATTGTTTCTACTTTTTGGCTGTTATGGATAATGCTACCATAAATATTTATGTACATTTTTTGTGGCCATATATTTTCAGTTCTCCTAGGTATATAGCATATTCTGTATTTCCAAATATTCCAGGGTCTTTTATTAGGCCCTGTATTCTGTTCTACTGATTGATTATTGATTATTACTCCACTACTCAGTGTTTTAATTGTTGGAGCTTTATAATGTCTTTTTTTTTAAATTTTATTATGTTAATCACCATACATTACATCATTAGTTTTTGATGTAGTGTTCCATGATTCATTGTTTGTGTATAACACCCAGTGCTCCATTCAATATGTGCCCTCTTTAATACCCATTACCAGGCTAACCCATCCCCCCACCCCCCTCCCCTCTAGAACCCTCAGTTTTTTTCTCAGAGTCCATAGTCTCTCATGGTTCGTCTCCCCCTCCGATTTCCCCCCCTTCATTTTTCCCTTCCTACTATCTTTTTTTTTTTTTTAAACATATAATGTATTATTTGTTTCAGAAGTACAGGTCTGTGATTCAACAGTCTTATACAATTCACAGCGCTCACCATAGCACATACCCTCCCCAATGTCTATCACCCAACCACCCCATACCTCCCACCCCCCACCACTCCAGCAACCCTCAGTTTGTTTCCTGAGATTAAGAATTCCTCATATCAGTGAGATCATATGATACATGTCTTTCTCTGATTGACTTATTTCGCTTAGCATAATACTGTCTAGGTCCATCCATGTTGTTGCAAATGGCAAGATTTCGGGTTTTTTTTTTTTGATGGCTGCATAATATTCCATTTTATATATATACTACGTCTTCTTTATCCATTCATCTGTTGATAGACATCTTGGCTCTTTCCATAGTTTGGCTATTGTGGACATTGCTCCTATAAACGTTGGGGTGCACGTACCCCTTTGGATCACTACATTTGTATATTTGGGGTAAATACCCAGTAGTGCAATTGCTGGGTCATACAGTTATTGTTTGATAATGCTGGTGTCTTCTGTCCCCCTCACCTTGTTATTTTTCTTTCTCTTCCCCTCCCTTCCCTCCCCCTTCCCCTCCCCCCTTCCCCTCCCCTCCCTTCCCCTCCCTTCTCTTCCCCTCCCTTACCTTCCCTTCCCCTCCCTTGCCTTCCCTTCCCTTCCCTCTTCTCCCCTCCCCTTCTCTTCCTTTCCCTTCAGTAGGCTCCATGCCCAACATGGAGCCCAAGGTGGGGCTTGAACTCACAACCCTGAGATCAAGATCTGAGCTGAGATCAAGATTCTTTTTTTTTTTTTTTACACATTAAACAACTTTGTTTTATTTATTTATTTATTTTAAAAATTTTATTATGTTATGTTAGTCACCATACAAGACATCATTAGTTTTTGATGTGGTGATCCATGATCCATTGTTTTCGTAAAACACCCAGTGCTCCATGCAGTACGTACCCTCCTTAATACCCATCACCGGGCTAACCAATCCCCCCTCCCCCCTCCCCTCTAAAACCCTGTTTGTTTCTCAGAGTCCATAGTCTCTCATGGTTCATCTCTCCCTCCAATTCCCCCCACCTCATTTTTCCCTTCTTTCTCTTAGTGTCCTCCATGCTATTCCTTACATTCCACAAATAAGTGAAACCATATGATAATTGACTTTCTCTGCTTGACTTATTTCACTTAGCATAATCTCCTCCAGTCCCATCCATGTTGATGTAAAAGTTGGGTATTCATCCTTTCTGATGGCTGGGTAATATTCCGTTGTATATATGGACCACATCTTCTTTACCCATTCATCTGTTGAAGGGCATCTCGGCTCTTTCCACAGTTTGGCTATTGAGGACATTGCTGCTATGAACATTGGGGTGCATATGGCCCTTCTTTTCACTACATCTGTGTCTTTGGGGTAAATACCCAGGAGTGCAATTGCTGGGTTATAGGGTAACTCTATTTTTAAATTTTTGAGGAACCTCCACACTGTTTTCCAAAGTGGCTGTACCAACTTGCATTTCCACCAACAGTGTAAGAGAGTTCCCCTTTCTCCACAACCTCTCCAACGTTTGTTGTTTCTTTCCCTGTCCATTTTTGCCATTCTAACTGGTGTAAGGTGGTATCTCAATGTGGTTTTGATTTGGATTTCCCTGATGGCTAATGATGATGAACATTTTTTCATGTGTCTGTTAGCCATTTGTATGTCTTCTTCAGAGAAGTGTCTTTTCATATCTTCTGCCCACTTTTTGACTTGATTATTTGTTTTTTGGGTGTTGAGTTTGAGAAGTTCTTTATAGATCTTGGATACCAGCCCTTTATCTGTAGTGTCATTTGCAAATATCTTCTCCCATTCTGTGGGTTGCCTCTTTGTTTTGTTGACTGTTTCCTTTGCTGTGCAGAAGATTTTTATCTTGATGAAGTCCCAAAAGTTCATTTTTGCTTTTGTTTCACCAGCTTTTGGAGATGTATCTTGAAAGAAGTTGCTGTGGCTGATGTCAAAGAGATTACTGCCTATGTTCTCCTCTAGGATTTTGATGGATTCCTGTCTCGCATTGAGGTCTTTCATCCACTTTGAGTTTATCTTTGTGAATGGTGTGAGAGAATGGTCGAGTTTCATTCTTCTGCATGTGGCTGTCCAATTTTCCCAGCACCATTTATTGAAGAGACTGTCTTTTTTCCATTGCATGTTTTTTCCTGCTTTGTCAAAGATTATTTGACCATAGAGTTGAGCGTCCATATCTGGGTTCTCTATTCTGTTCCATTCGTCTGTATGTCTGTTTTTGTGCCAGTACCATGCTGTCTTGGTGATCACAGCTTTGTAATATAGCTTGAAATCGGGCACCATGATGCCCCAGCTTTGTTTTTCTTTTTCAACATTTCCTTGGCGATTCAGGGTCTTTTCTGATTCCATACAAATTTTAGGATTGTTTGTTCCAGCACTTGGAAAAATGTCATTGGAATTTTGATCAGGATGGCATTGAAGGGGTAGATTGCTCTGGGTAGCATAGACATTTTAAAAATGTTTATTCTTTCGATCCATGAGCATGGAATATTTTTCCATCTTTTTGTGTCTTCTTCAATTTCTTTCATGAGTGTTTTGTAGTTCCTAGAGTATAGATCCTTTACCTCTTTAGTTAGGTTTATTCCGAGGTATCTTATGGTTTTTGGTGCTATTGTAAATGGAATCGTTTCTCTAATTTCTCTTTCTACAGTTGCGTTGTTAGTGTATAAGAAAGCAACTGATTTCTGTGCATTGATTTTGTATCCTGCCACATTACTGAATTGCTGCATGAGTTCTAGTAATTTGGGGGTGGAGTCTTTTGGGTTTTCCACATAAAGTATCGTGTCGTCTGCGAAAAGAGAGAGTTTGACTTCTTCTTTACCAATTTGAATACCTTTTCTTTCTTTTTGTTGTCTGATTGCTGTTGCTAGGACTTCTAGTACTATGTTGAACAATAGTGGTGAGAGTGGGCATCCTTGACGTGTTCCTGATCTTAAGGGAATGGCTCTCAGCTTTTCCCCATTGAGGATGATATTTGCTGTGGGTTTTTCATAGATGGATTTTATGAACTTGAGGAATGTTCCCTCTATCCCTATACTCTGAAGAGTTTTAATCAGTAAAGGATGTTGTATTTTGTCAAATGCTTTTTCTGCATCAATTGAGAGGACCATATGGTTCTTCTCCCTCCTCTTATTAATGTGTTCTATCACATTGATTTGCGAACGTTGAACCACCCTTGCATCCCGGGGATAAATCCCACTTGGTCGTGGTGGATGATCCTTTTAATGTCTTGTTGGATCCTATTAGCTAGGATTTTGTTGAGGATTTTGGAATCCATATTCATCAGGGATATCGGTCTGAAATTCTCCTTTTTGATGGGGTCTTTGCCTGGTTTGGGGATTAAGGTAATGTTGGCCTCATAGAATGAGTTTGGAAGTTTTCCTTCTGTTTCTATTTTTTGAAACAACTTCAGTAGAATAGGTATTATTTCTTCTTTGAATGTTTGGTAGAATTCCCCAGGGAATCCATCAGGCCCTGGACTCTTGTTTTTTGGGAGGTTTTTGAACACTGCTTCAATCTCGTTACTGGTTATTGGGCTATTCAGGTTGTCAGTTTCTTCCTGTTTCAGTCTTGGCAGCTTATAGGTTTCCAGGAAGGCCTCCATTTCATCCAGATTGCTCAGTTTATTGGCATATAGTTGTTGATAATAATTTCTAATAATTGTTTCTATTTCCTTGGTGTTAGTCGTGATCTCTCCCCTTTCATTCATAATTTATTAATTTGGGTCCTTTCTCTTTTCTTTTGGATAAATCTGGCCAGTGGTTTATTGATCTTATTAATTCTTTCAAAGAACCAGCTTCTAGTTTCGTTGATCTGATCTACTGTGTTTCTGGTTTCTAATTCATTGATCTCTGCTTTAATTTTAATTATTTCTCTTCTAATGCATGGCTTAGGCATCATTTGTTGCTTTTTCTCTAGTTCTTTAAGGTGTAGAGTTAGTTGGTGAATTCGGATTTTTCTATTTTTTTGAGTGAGGCTTGGATGGCTATGTATTTCCCCCTTAGGACTGCCTTTGCAGTATCCCATAGGTTTTGGACTGATGTGTTTTCGTTCTCATTGATTTCCATGAATTGTTTAAGTTCTTCTTTGATTTCCTGGTTGACCCAAACATTCTTGAGCAGAGTGGTCTTTAGCTTCCAAGTGTTTGAATTTCTGCCAAATTTTTTCTTGTGATTGAGTTCCAGTTTTAAAGCATTGTGGTCTGAGCATATGCAGGGAATAATCTCAATCTTTTGGTATCGGTTGAGACCTGATTTGTGACCCAGTATGTGGTCTATTCTGGAGAAAGTTCCATGTGCGCTCGAGAAGAATGAGTATTCTGTTGTTTTAGGGTGGAATGTTCTGTAAATATCTATGAGGTCCATCTGGTCCAATGTATCATTCAAAGCTCTTGTTTCCTTGTTGATTTTCTGCTTAGATGATCTGTCCATTGCTGAGAGTGGAGTATTGAGGTCTCCTACAATTAACTTATTGTTATCAATATGACTCTTTATTTTGGTTAACAGTTGGTTTATGTAGATGGCTGCTCCCATGTTGGGGGCATAGGTATTTACAATTGTTAGATCTTCTTGTTGGATAGACCCTTTAAGAATGATATAGTGTCCTTCTGTGTCTCTAATTACAGACTTTAGCTTAAAATCGAATTTGTTTGATATAAGAATTGCTACCCCAGCTTTCTTTTGAGGTCCGCTGGCATGGAATATGGATCTCCATCCCTTCACTTTCAGTCTGGATATATCTTTAGGTTCAAAATGAGTCTCTTGTAGGCAGCATATGGATGGGTCCTGTCTTTTTATCCAATCTGCAACCCTGTGCCATTTTATGGGAGCATTTAGGCCATTCACGTTGAGAGTGATTATTGAAAGATATGAATTAATTGTCATCATGTTGCCTGTGAAGATGCTGTTTTTATAGATTGTCCCTGTAAATTGCTGTTGTATATCACTCTTGGGGTCTTTCTCCTTTTATAGAGCCCCCCTTAATATTTCTTGCAGGGCCGGCTTAGTGGTCACATATTCTTTCAGTTTCTGCCGGTCGTGGAAGCTCTGCATCTCTCCATCCATTCTAAATGGGTGGATAAAGTATTGCAGGATAAAGTATTCTTGGCTGCATGTTCTTCTCATTTAGTACCCTGAATATGTCTTGCCAGGCCTTTCTGGTTTGCCAGGTCTCTGTGGATAGGTCTGACGTTATTCTGATGTTCCTCCCTCTGTACATAAGGAATCTCTTCCCCCTAACTGCCCTTAAGATGGTTTCCTTGGTTCTAAGATTTGCAAGTTTTACTATTACATGCCGGGGTGTTGGCCTGTTTTCCTTGATCTTGGGAGGGGTCCTCTCTGCCTCTAGGATGCGAATGTTTGTCTCATTCCCCAGATTAGGGAAGTTCTCAGCTATGATTTGCTCAAATACGTCTTCTAGTCCTCTCTCTTTCTCCACTCCCTCCGGGATTCCAATTATTCTGACATTGGAATGCTTCATGGTGTCACTTATTTCTCTGATTCTATTTTCATGGATTCTGAGTTGTTTTTCCCTGGCCTCCTCTTTTCCCTTTTTATCTATTATATTCTCTTCCAGGTCGCTTATTCGCTCTTCTGCCTCAGTTACCCTAGCTGTTAGATTATCTATATTGGATTGGATCTCATTGATAGCATTTTTAAGTTCTGCCAATTCAGCTTTCATTTCTGCCCTTAGAGACTCTGTGTTGCCATTAATTGATTTCTCCATTCTAGCCATTGTCTTCACAATTGCTAGCCTGAATTCCATCTCTGACATCTTGGTTATATCTGCATCCATTTGTAAATCTGCAGCATAATCTCTGAGTCTTTTCTATTTTGGGGGCTCCTCCGCCTAGTCATTCTGTTGATGGGTGTTTGAGGGAGTGTATAGAGTCCAAATTATTGATCAGAACCCAAGCAAGATGCACCAGTTTTCTTGGGACCTTAGGGTTGCTGGCCTCTTGTTTTCCCAGCCTGTCTTCTGTGGGAGGGGTCTGCCGCGCTGTTATTCAGGCAACCCTGTTTGGGCGGAGTTGCCCTGCCCCCCTGTGGCAGGGGTTGGGCTCAGCGGGAATCAGTTTTGGGGGCTTTTGTTCTCTGGTGGCTTTCCCTGGTGGCTTTCCGCATCTCTTCCGCGAGTCAGAGCAGAAGAGACCGTTTCCAACCCTCTGCCTTAGAGCAGAGAGACCGCAGTCTGTTCTTCAGTGAGCTCTCCAGGCCACACTGTCTCTGTTTCTGTCCGTGCTGCTATAAACTGCAGCGTCCTGGGTTGTGCGCCCCTCTGCAGCGCTCCATCCTGCCTGCCCTTTGTGCTTATAAAACCGCCAGCCGCTCCCAGTTCGCAGGCGCGACCCCGCTGCTCCAGGTTTCCACCCGGGGGCTGCCCTAAAGTCCTTCCCCGCCACTACCAGTCTGCGAGTCTGTGCCTGTCCACAGCGCTCGAGGCTGTCACTCACTGGTGGTGTAGGATCCCCAGGGCCAGGCTCCCTCCCGCTGCCGTTTATCCTCCGATATCTGCCTGCGGAATCATGGCTCCCTGCTTCGTACCTCAAAACCAACCACCTGCGAAATTCTGTTTGTAGAGATCCAAATCTTCTTACATCTCAGGCTGGTTTCGTGGGTGCTCAGAGTGGTTGGTAGATATCCAGCTCAATTCTGGGGACCAGTTGAAATAGGGTCCCCTACTCCTCCGCCATCTTTCCTCTCTCCTGAGATCAAGATTCTTAACCAACTGAGCTACCCAGGCACCCCTTTCTTTTCTTTTCTTTTCTTTTCTTTTTTTTTTTATTCTTTTTTTTTTAAAGAAAAATTTTAGTAATTCCTGTTTTGATGTTCAGTTGAACTTTAACATCATTTTTTTAGGCATCCCCTCCCTCCAGAAATAATTCTATTAAGATTTTGATTAGGATCCTTTAAAAAATTTTTTTAAATTTTATTTAGTGTTTTAAAATTCAAAATTAGCTGTTTATATTTCTTTTTCACTGAATCATATTTCCACATTAGTAAAAAGTTTTGTTAGCATATTGGGAATCAAAAGAAGAATTCAATACTTTCCTAATTTTTCCTCTTATCTAGAATCATGTAGGGCACCTGGGGGGCTCAGTCCGTTAGGCATCTGCCTTCAGCTCAGGTCATGATCCCAGGGTTCTGGGATTGAGCCCCATACCAGTTCCCTGCTGGGTGGGAAGTCTGCTTCTCTCTCTCCTGCTGCCCCTCCCCATAGCTCGTGCTCTCTGTCTCTTTTTCTCAAATAAATAAATAAATCTTTAAAAGAAATAGAATCATGTAAGAACTTTCCCTAATTTTTCGCTTATTAAACATTTTGTAGGATTATAGCATCTTTTTCCATTTTATATAAATTACTTAAAGTATTTAATGGTTTTGTTAGGTGTCTGAAAATTTAATTTTTCATAATAATTACATTTTCTTTCAAGGTATGGCAGATTGTGTCTTGGCTCTTGGATTTGAGAAGATGGAGAAGGGATCCATTTTAGGAAATGTGAGTCTTATTTACTGTTATTCTGGAGTTGTTATAACACTGTGAGAAAACTTTTCCCGTTTGACTACTATGAATAGAACCTGTTAATAAGCAACATAAAGTGTAACTTGGCATAGTTACTAAATGAGCTGATAGAATTCACAATCTGAAAAGTGACATTGTATATGTATGCATAAGTTCTGGTATGTTAGAACAGTAAAGAATCATAGAGATGATTTGGTTTAGCTTCTTTACATTGTCAATGATGAAACTGATGTTCAGAGAAGTCAAATAATTGAATTTGAGGTGACTTACCTATTTAATTTGAGAGGAATTAATTCAAAAATTAATTCCATTTAACAAATTGAAGAGGATTACTAAAGTATGGGACTTCTGATTCTGGTAGTGGGAAGCCAGGGTATTTGAACCAGTTCTCCTGATGACAACTAAAATATTTGAATAGAATATAAACAAAAAATTCTACAGGCATTGAAGTGTTAAAGAGAGACGAGAAATTGCAGGTGAATACCAGAGAATTAAGATCAGTATTTGAAGCTGCTTTTGCCTTGAATGCCTTTTCATCAGGAAGCTGTGAGATTCAGTTTTGATGGCCCCCTAAAATGAAGAGGAAAGTAGCCAAAATTCAGGTCCTCCTATGATCAGAAGTGTAATAACCACTTCCCACAATAAAATAGGGGCTCTGTGGGGATAAATCCTTTGGGTAAGGGTGAACCCAAAGAAAAACTGTCCTCCTCCCCTATATCCTCTTTTCCCCACTTTCATGAGATTACAAGGAGAGTTGACTTGGCACCGAGCAGAACAAGGGAGAAAAAAGAGAAGGAAAGAAATCCCCCAGAAAAACCTTTCATTGATAATTAATAAACCAGAAGCTAATCCTCATTGAGATTGCTACCAAAATTCTTATTACAGGGCAGTCCAAGAAACCTTAAACCTTGAATTGAGTCTAAATTGGTTCCAGAAGGCACTTAACAGACACAAGTGTGAATTTGCTTTTGGAGGAAAGCGTTTTCTTTTGGAGGCTTTGAGAACTCTTCAAGTAACTTTCTAAGACACACCGTCAAAGATAACCAGGCCTTAAAGAAACAGGGCACCATAATTGAGAACCAGGAGAAAGAAGGCACAGTAAAAAGTGATCTCTGAAGACCTCAGAAACTGGATTTATTGAACACAGATTTAGACACACTTACCATGTTTGAAGAAATAAAAGACAAGCTTGGAAATATCCCAAGGGCATAGCGAAGCTGTGAAAAGGGACATTATAGGAATGAAAAAAATAGTTTATAGAAAAGAAAAATAAAATAATTAAAATCAAGAAATCAGAAGATAGGTTTGATAGCAGATTACCCATAACTAAAAAGAGAATTAGTGAAACTGATTATCTAGGGGCGCCTGGGTGGCTCAGTCGTTGGGCATCTGTCTTCGGCTCAGGTCATGATCCTGGGGTCCTGGGATCGAGTCCCACATCGGGCTCCCTGCTCGGCGGGAAGCCTGCTTCTCCCTCTCCCACTCCCCCTGCTTGTGTTCCTTCTCTCGCTGTATCTCTCTCTGTCAAATAAATAAATAAAATCTTAAAAAAAAAATTATCTAGAATACACTCTAAAAAGTATTCTTATCTTTTAGAAAAAATGAAAAATTGGCAGGAAGTTAAGATAAATGGAGGATAGTGTGATAAGATATAATTATGTTTAATTGAATTAATGGAGAAGAAGTGGTGAGAGAGAAAATAAGGCATGGACATTTTGTTTATCTTCTCTAAAAACCAGCCTTGAGTTTCACTGATCTTTTCTGTTTTCTTTTTACTCTCTCATTTACTTCCAACCTGATCTTTGTTATTTTCTTCTCTCTACTAACTTTGGGTCTAGTTTGGGTGTCTTTTTCTTGTTCCTTGAGGTGTTTTGTTTGTTTTTGTGTGGTTTTTATTGAGGTCTTGTTTTCAGTGTAGGAGTTTATCATTATGAACTTCCCTCTTAGAACTGCTTTTGCTGCATCCTGTAAATTTTGGTATGTTGTATTTCCATTTTTATTCATCTTAAGATATTTTTTTATTTCTTTTTTTTATTTCTTTGACCCATTGGGTGTTCAGTAGCATGTTGTTTCATTTCCACATATTTGTGAATTTTCTAGCTTTCTTCTTGTAGTTGATTTCTAGTTTTATACCATTGTGGTTGGAAAAGGTGCTTGATGATTTCAGTCCTCTTAAATTTATTAAGACTTGTTTTGTGGCCTACCACATCATTTATTCTGGAGAATGTTCCATGTGTACCACAGAAGAATGTATATTCTATTGCTTTTGGATGGAATGTTCTGTATATATCTGTTAAGTCCATCTGATCCAATCTTTCCTTATTGATTTTCTGTCTGAATAATCTATCTATTGATGAAAGTAGGGTATTAAAGTTTTCTATACTATTATTGCATTGCTGTCTGTTTCTCCTGTTAGGGCTGTTGACATTTGGTTTATATATTTAGGTGCTCCTGTGTTAGGTGCATGAATAATTACAGATGTTATGTTATCTTGTTGGATTGACCCCTTTATCATGGATGACTGGTTTTGAGGTTTTTTTTTTTTTAATTTTTATTTTTTTAAGGGTTTCTTTTTTTAAAAAATATTTTATTTATTTATTTGACAGAGAGGGACACAGCGAGAGAGGGAACACAAGTAGGGGGATTGGGAGAGGGAGAAGCAGGCTTCCTGCGGAGCAGGGAGCCCAATACAGGGCTTGATCCCAGGACCCTGGGATCATGACCTGAGCCGAAGGCAGACTCTTAACGACTGAGCCACCCAGGTGCCCCTGGTTTTGAGGTTTTAAACCTGAGTTAAAATAATAAGACCAAACATAATTATACTTTAATATGTATATCAACATGTGAATGTAGAGAAGAGCCAAAATAATGAAGTGTTTTTCTTTAGATTGAATATTTGAATTTAGGTGTAACAAATAGAAGTGGGTTTTAGTTTATCCTCTATAGTGACCTTTGTCTCTTATTATAGTCTTTGTCTTAAAATCTGTTTTATCTGATATAACTATAGCAACTTCAGCTTTCTTTTGGTTTTCATTTGCATAGAATGTCTTTTTCCATCCCTTTACTTTTAATCTGTGTGTCTTTACACCTGAAAGTGAGTCTCTTATAGGCAGCGTATGGATGGGTCTTGTTTTTTTATCCATTCAGCCACTCTATCTCTTGATTGGAGAATTTAGTTCATTTACATTTAAAGTAATTATTGATAGGTATGGACTTATTGCCATTTTGTTAATTGTTTTCTGGCTGTTTTATAGAGCATAGGCATTATTTGAAGAGATAATGGCTACTAATTTTCTTGAACTGGCAAAGGACACTATCTGCAGATTGAAAAATCCCAGTGAATCCAAATTAGGATAAATAAAAGGAAACCCCACAATGAAACTGCAAAACAAAACAAAACAAAACAAAAAACAAAACAAAAGCAAAGGGAATAGTGGGGTGAGTATTAGTATTGTCTTTTTTTTTTTAAGATTTATTTATTTGAGAGAGGGAGAAAGAGCATGAACAGGAGGGGCAGAGGGAGGGGGAGAGAGAATCCCAAGCAGACTCCACACTGAGCATGGAGCCTGACTCAGGGCTGGATCTCACAACCCTGAGATCATGACCTGAGCTGAAACCAAGAGACAGATGCTCAGCCAACTTTGCCACCCAGGCACCCCTAGTGTTGTCTTTATATGAAGAATATTACTAGAACAGAAGGTTATAGATATTTGTTTTTTATATGTATGGATATTGAGTTTTGGGCTTATGTCACCTTTAGAATAGTCTTACATTCTGTTTGTAAAAACGCAATTTTAAAAACTTTTTTTTTTTTTTAAAGTAAGCTCTAGGCCCAACATGGGGCTTGAATTCACGACCCAAGATCGAGAGTCACATTCCCCACTGACTGAGCCAGCCAGGCGCCTCAGTTTTTAAAACTTTTCAAAGCAGTTTTAAAGCAATTGCAAGCAACTTTTTTTTTTTAAAGATTTTATTTTTTTATTTGAGAGAGAGAGAATGAGAGAGAGCACATGAGAGGGGGGAGGGTCAGAGGGAGAAGCAGACTCCCTGCCGAGCAGGGAGCCCGATGCGGGACTCGATCCAGGGACTCCAGGATCATGACCTGAGCCGAAGGCAGTCGCTTAACCAACTGAGCCACCCAGGTGCCCCAACTGACTTTTTTTTTTTTTTTAAGATTTTATTTATTCATAAGTGACAGAGAGAGAGAGAGAGATTGGCAAAGGGAGAGGAGGCAGGCTCCCCGCTGAGCAGGGAGCCCGATGCGGAACTTGATCCCAGGACTCTGGGATCATGACCTGAGCCAAAGGCAGATGCTTAACCATCTGAGCCACCCAGGCGCCCTGCAAGCAACTTTTAAAGCAATTTTTGGCAATTTAGTGATTGAAAGCCTTTGGGTTTGATTATCAACATGATTTTAAAGATTTCTATTTTAGTTTAATCCATTTTCTTCATTTTAAAAGTAATCTTCATTTCAGTAATAATCATTTAGTAATGGTTCCTACTTTTTAGTTTTGTTTCTCTAGTGGCAAGTAGGCAATTTCTGATATAAATGTATTTTTTTTCAAGGGGAATTGCTTCTTGAATTATATACTTGATGACTGTTTAAAATAATATGTAGGGATTGATCTCTGGTAAAAACAGATTTTTCTATAGAAGGCAGTACAATATAAAACTAGAATCATTGTGTGTGTGTGTTTAAAAAGATTTATTTATTTTAGAGGGGGGCAGGGGCAAAGGGAGAGGGAGAGAGAATCTCAAGCAGACTCTATACTGAGCCAGGAGCCCGATATGGGGCTTGATCCCATGACCCTGAGATCATGACCTGAGTTGAAACCAGGAGTTGGTTGCTCAGCTGTCTGTACCACCCAGGTGCCCATTTTTTTTTTTTTAAGTTTTATTCATTGAAGTAATCACTATACCCAACATGGGACTTGAACTCATGACCTCAAGATCAAGAGTCCCATGCTCTTCTGACT